TAGAGCAATCTTGGTTGTAGATCTTTGGATTTCATGACTTGGAATACTTCTTTCCAGCCCCTTCTTGCCTGTGAGGTCTCTTTTGAGAAATCCGTTGACAGTCTGATGGGAAGTCCTTTGTAGGTGACTGTCCCCTTATCTCTTGCTGCATCTAGGATTCTCTCCTCCATTTTAATCTTGGCTAATGTAATGATGATGTGCCTTGGTGTGTTCCTTCTTGGGTCCAATTTCTTTGGGACTCTCTGAGCTTCCTGGATTTCCTGGAAGTCTATTTCCTTTGCTAGATTGGGGAAGTGCTCCTTTATTATTTGTTCAGATAAGTTCTTCACTCGTGGCTGTTCCTCTTTGCCTTCTGGTACCCCTATAATTCAGATGTTGGAACATTTAAAGATGTCCTGGAGGTTCCTAAGCCTCTCCTCATTTTTTTGAATTCTTGTTTCTTCATATTTTTCTGTTTGGTCATTTTTTTGCTCTTTCTGGTCCACTCTTTTGATTTGAGTCCCAGTTTCCTTTCCATTACTATTGGTTTCCTTCCTGTGCATTTCCCTTCATTTTAATTAGTTTAGCCTTCATATGTTCCTCTAATTTGTGACTAAAATCAACCAGTTCTGTGAGCATCCTGATCACCAGTGTTTTGAACTGTGCATCTGGAAGTTTGGTTATTTCTTGGTCACTTAGAGTTATGGGCTCTGGGGCTTTGAGTTCTTCTTGTGCCATAATGTTTTGCTCTGTTCGTGCCTGTGACATATGAGGAGAGGAACCTTAGATTTTCACCAGGGTGGGGCCACCCAGGTCGCTGGGTTGTGAGACTGTATGTGTGGGTGGGGTCAGAGAGGGATAATGGTGGTCCCCTCTGCTGCTTCCTGCTGCTGGGGCCTGTGCAGTCCATCTCACTGCTTGCTCCTTCACCTGTTTATCTGTGTGCAAATGTGTGACCACTGTCAGCCCTCAGTGGGTCTACCCGCTGCCTGTGCGCCTGTGTTGAGTGCCCAGGTCAGTCTGGTGGATCTTTCCTGCCCTACCCTGCTCTGCTGCTGGCTCTGCCCCTCTTACCAGTTTGTTGTTGTCAGACTTCTGTATAGTTCAATTTTCTGTGGTTTGGCTGCATTTTTGTTGCTAAAACTTTGTTGTTTTTAATCTTGGTTGTACAAGAAGGCACAGTGTTTCCACCTACGCCTCCATCTTGGTGGAAGTGTCCTGGTCCTCCAAACTTTTTAATTCTGTACGTCTATTAGTAAAATCTTTCTTCCATGCATTACCAGTATGTATAAATGTATTTTTCAATTATACATGTGTGTTTTGCTTACTGTGCTAACATTATATATGTGCTAAAATATATATAAAAATATGTTCAAAAGAAATGAGAAAAAAATAATAGGTTCTTTCTCAATGGACTTTCTATCTCAGTGCAGACCCTTGCACTTTCCACTTTGATGAACACTGACTTTTTTCAGTCTTTTGAAGGTGAAACTCTGTATTTAACATTAAATTAGTTCATTGTGTATATCTCACATATATATATAACCCAGTCTATGTACTCCTTCATCAGCCTTTGCACATTTCTCTTAATGCAACTTAGCCTCCCACTACATCAGGCGTGGGCTCATCCTTCAGGTGGCCTCCCTTCCACACTTTTGTTTTAACCACCTCTTCTCTACTGTTCTCAGAAGCATCCAGTCCATTCCAGGGCTGACCCGTTCACTTCATGCTCCTGCTCTTAATCCCGACCTCATTTACCTCCTCTTCAGACCTTGCTTTGTCAGTTATTCCTTTGTTTCTTCCTCTTCACTGGCTTTTCCCTCTCGCCCTTTAAACATGCTCAGGTGTCTTTAAACATTCTTTTGCCTCTGCCCCCTCATTGAAGCTTCTGCTGCTTTCTGCTGCCAATTTCCCATTCAGCTTACTGCATCCTGTATTCCTCCTCCCATCCACACTGCCTTGCTATGGTCAGCAGTTACTCTTGCTTCTTTTTATTCCTCTTTGCAATACCTGACCCACAGCTTTTCTCCCTGTCCACTTTCCCAGTCTCTTCTGCAACTTGCAGTTCTTCCATTTTTACGCAAATGCTGATCTTCCCAGGGTTTCTGCCTTGTCCTTTTTCTTGGTATATCCTCTTTCTGTGTGACCTTACCTACTTAAAAGGCTTCAGCTCTTCCCTGTACCACTCTGATTTGTACCAGACTCATATATACTGTCCTGACATGCTTTCTGATTCTTAATTTGCATTTCCATTTCCAATTATCTGCTAAATATCTCTTCCTGGGTAACTCAGTGGTACTCAAAATATAATATGGTTAAAGCAAAACACTTTGTTTAATCCCCCAAACTCTTCTTCTTCAGTAGTTGTCATCCTCCCAGTTGTTCACATTAGAAGTTACACAGTCTCTTCCCCCCATTCATCGCCAGATTTGTCCCTTTTAACTGTACAGTACCCCCATCCTCCCTTTGCTCAGTCCTACCCACCCAAGGGAAGCAGCCTTATACAGTGGAGTATGAATGTATATTCATCAGACCTTGGAGCAGAAGGGACCTGGGTTCAAATCCCAGTGCTGACACTAGCTGTATGATCTTGGGCATGTTGTTCAACTTAATCAATAAATTGGAGGAAACAGAAGCTTACTCTTAAAATCATTTTTAGGATTTACTAAATAAAGCACACATCCAGTGCTAAAACCCCCTGCCTAGACTACTGAATTAGATGCCTAACTGACCTACCTGCCTTGGGTTTCTCCTCTATTCCACCCTACCTATTGCCACCAGAGTTTCTAAAATACAAATGGAATCATTTATTTTCCAGTGTCAGAAGTTTCTGGTAGTTCCCTATTGCTTCAAGAAACATTGGAACACCCTTGTTTTAAATTATATGAGTAAAGTAGTCATAAACTTTGTCATACCAATGATAACGCTTCAGGGAATGAAAGGAGACATTAGCTGAACGGGTTTCCAGAACAACAGCTGTAAACTGGGGCTATCCTGGAAGAACCGGGACAAGTGCTAATGCCATGTGTGATATTCCCTGCAGTGTTCTCCCAGCCTCATCTCATGACGCGCCACACTGCTCACCAAAACACCAGTCTGAAGTGTCCAGGATGCCCCTCTCCTTTTAGAAACAGACCTGGCTTTGCCTCCTGCAGCGTGGACTGCAACATTTCCACATGTCTCTAATGGAGCACTTACCGTTCTATTACCAGCATGTCTCGCACTAGACTTGTGAACTTCAAGGGCCATTCTCACTTGTCTTTAACTCTGTGTGTAGAGTTGCACAGAGCAGGGGATCAAGTTTGTATTCAGTATCCCTGGTTGGTGTGACCCAGTGGGTGGAGAGCCAGACTGTGAACCAGTTCGATTCCTGGCCAGGGCACATGCCCGGGTTGTGGGCCAGGTCCCCAGTTGGGGATGTGTGAGAGGCAACTGATTGATGCTTCTCTCCCTCTCTTTCTCTCTTCCCCTCTCTCTAAAAAATAATTAAAATCTTTTTTAAAAAAAGTTTGTATCCAGTAAATGTTTATTGAATTAATAAATAAATAGGATTTATTGTTTAGCCTTCGGTATTTCACAAAACATTTTTTAAAAATCCAGTCTATACCATAAAAATACAAGGCAGCTTACAAAAATACAATATTTAATAACAAAATAAAATGGATATCCTTTCTTTATTCATATTACATTATTTGTCCCTGCCCTACGTTTCAATAAATTGTTTCTTAACCTGACATTTGGTATTTCTTATTCTCAGTCCCCATATCCCTGTTCGCCTGCCCACCGGCCGAGTTCTAACACAGAAGTAGGAGTCCTGTAGGACTTCCAGGAAAGCTTTTGCTTTCCCAATAAAAAGGAACACATTTACTTGGCTCAGTTTTTACTGCTCTTCTGTCGTCACCCTTCCGTCTTCAGTGGAATATAAAGCGTTGCCCAAAAGTACAGCAGCCATGTGGCATCTGTGAGGATGAACGTTAGTGAGTGAAAGCCAAAAAAACCTGGGTCCCTAACAGCATCTTTAAGCCACTGAACCAGCCTTTGGTTGGTGACTCTAGCAGTTGTTGAATACTGAACAAAAAGCTGCTATATCTCAAGAAACTGTTAGTTGCCTTCTCTGCTTATTTGCCGCCAAACACATTCCTAACTGATACACTCATCAACCTACCTTCCAACACGTGACTTAATTTTTTTAAAGCAGGTTTAGTCATTTCTGTTGAGAGTAGTGTTGATATTTAAATGAACACATGCACTCTGTTCTTTTCCTAGTTGATACAAGTACAAAGTTGCCTATATTTGGAAATAATAACTTTCACCACATGTTCCGCAATAATTTCAGCAACTAACACCACCAGAAAATACGGGGTTTTGTTCTAAGAAAACAAGTTTTTAGATGAGGTGTTACTTTATTAGCACATACCTGAACACAGTATGGTCACTCGTTTTTATTTATTAAAAACTAACCCTTTAGAAGAGAAATCTTAATCATTTAAGACTAAGATATTCCTCTGGTAATAGGGGATATTTGCCCTTGCTGATTATCTGTTTTTAAAAAACTATATTTCTCGCCCTGGCTGGTGTAGCTCAGTGGATTGAGCATGGGCCCGTGAACCAAAAGATCACGGTTCAATTCCCCATCAGGGAACATGCCTGGGTTGCAGGCCAGTTCCCAGCAGGAGCCAGTTCCCAGCAGGGGATGCACCAGAAGCAACCATACATTGATTTTTCTCTCCTCTCCTTCCCTTCCCTTCTAAAGACAAATATAAAATAAAATAATAATATAAAATAATAAAATAAAATAAACTATTTCTGGAAAAACTGATTTCCAATTGGGGTAAGAGATGTATTTCTCTATAAATAGCATTGAGAAAATTTTCTAGCCTTTTTAGATGTGATATTTAAGCCAAGATCTTAATACTGTTTTCTGTGATGGCATATGCTTTCATTACATCTGTTTAACTGCATGGTATTAAGAGCGTTTGTTCATTAAGCATTTAGTTAGCTTTCATGTGTTTCTTTCTTAGTACCAAGGATGATTGCTTCAATGTTAATATTCAGCCACCTGTTGGAGAACTGCTTTTACCTGTGACCATGTCAGAGAAAGACTTTAAGAAAGAGCAAGGTGAGAGATTACTATGGTTTACTAGAAACTGACATCCCAAATAATAAGTGTTGTTCTGGCCGGTCTCTAAAATAAATTACCATATACATATAGCTATTAACAGATGTCAGTGCACAATCTTCCTGTTTGGGGTAATGCTTTCCTTTTACAATATAAAGTAACCTTAAAAGTGATGTTTGTCTGCCTTCCTGGCATATCTGAAAATTGATTAATATACCTTTAAAGTAATAAATTGATTCATAATTAACTTTTTAATTCTGAAAGTTGTGATTTGTCAACTTAGTGGCATGTTCATGTGTTTTGTATTAGTGAAAATGTCATAAATTTGGGACTTACCAAAGTCCTACCACTATAAATGTTACATTTCTGTTTTTTCTTTTACTATGGAATTATTTTTCATGTCCTACTAACCTACTTTTCCTTGCACACATTAGAGTGACTTACCCTCCAAAGTGAAGTCCTAATTATAGCATTAAAACACTCATTTTCTTTTGACCTGATTCTCGATTAAAGAAATGCTGTGTTGTCAGATTGTATCCAAACTAAATAAACTGGTTTAAAATTTGCACCTAAAAAGAAAATATTTGTAGCAGAATGGAAGTATTAATATCTCGTGCTTGCCCCAGAGTCAAGCATAACCTCTTGTATGTATGAGTAAGGGAAAGTAACTTTTGAATTTATGTGTTTGATGAAGGATATTATCTATAAAACTGGAATATATTTAAATGATGTAGTCAGCAATTTTTTAAAGTTTATGGGAATCTAAGCCATCTTTTTCTCTGGAGGGGGTTATCAAACAAAGATGCCTTCGACTCGGGTTCATTGATTTGCATTTGTCAAGTTCCCAGAAAGTACTAGGCACACACAAATACCTGCATCTAAGGAAAAGGGCATGAAGATTTTTACACTATAAGTCTGTGTAATCCACAGTGTTTAAAAGACCTGTTGTAGAAGACTTTCACTGTAAATGGACAGTAACCTTTTATTCTTCTGCCTAATTTTTAAGTGATAAAAAAATGAATGACTGAATTCATGTTTGTATTTGCTTTTCTTGGAAGTCAATTATAGTCATCTTTGTAATTTTATTCTTCTATTGACAAATTGAATTGATTCTTACATTTGCTATTCTTGCCCTTTGCTGGCTAAAGCCTGCCTCTCTGCTTTACACCTGCTCAGCAAACCAAGGTGAGTGGCGCACAAGTGACTGAATAAGGCACTTTTATTGGGCACATTTATTGTTAAGGGGATATTGCCTTTTTTTTTTTTTTAGAAAAGTGCAGCTAAAGCATATCTAAAGCAGCAGATTATCTTATACGCTTTCTTTCCCTCAGCTTTGGTTTAGAATTTCTTTCAAGTTTTTTGTGCTCTGCTGTGACTGTGGGATTTTTCCCTGACTAGCCATACAGAACCGTAAATGCATAGAGAGGTGCGCTTGGAGAACAGCTGCGGTCCTCTGCGGAGTTGTTGCCAAAATTCCTTTTTCTTCTGCCATTTTACTTCTATGGTTGTTGATTATTTGTCTGAATAAATCTGGCAGCTGTTTGCTATGTTTAATAGAGCAGAAAGGCTACTCTGAATAAAGCTATTTGAAAATTTGCTTATATGAAGTATTTGTAAATCCTCGCAAGTCTCTTGGCATTTCTGTATCATTCTGTCTGTCTTCCTGAATTCATTCTTTGACATGGGACTTGATGCTGGCAAATTTACCACAGGTTTAAAGAGGATTTTCAATAGCATCTTTTTAGTTGTAGATTTCAGCTGATTTGGTAATAGAGGTCTCAATTCTCAACTTTACACATGTATTTGCTTGTTACACTAATCGTGGACGAGCTTAGCTTGTTTCACAAAAGATACCTAGAAATGGCTCACTAGCTGAAAATCCTAAGTCAGAATAAAAATCCGCCCTTAGTATTTATCACAGCGAACTTCTGGAAGGCAAAATGCCACCAAATGTAAGCACTGTCTGTGTGTGCCGTTACCTGCTAGTTTTAACCGATATTTCTACTTTAAATGAAGTGAATTTACTTTATACTTCATTTCACAGGGCATATATATATTCTAAGGCTAAAGAAATGCATTAAATGTGTTATTTTGGATTTAACTGAAAAAATAAAAAATGAGGAATATGTTCTAGTTTACACTGAAAATGTACATAATTAAAAAGTGTGTACAATAACAAATAAGAATGCTTGTAACAGATTGTATATATTAATAATTTTAATTAAAAAGTTTTGTTTCTAATATGCAGTCTAATCTGTCACTTTTTCTCAGTAGCTAGCATTTAGAGTTCATGGCCAAAGACGCATTTTTCTTAGGTTGACAGTCAGTGTGCTAAATGGAAGATTGTTTATCTTGTGTATTCATACTATTCATATTCGTAGTATTCATCTTCTGAGCCTTCATCAGAAGCATAATTTTTTCATTGCTTTGAGTTTTGAGCCTTGCAACATGAGTTAATGATCTATCTAGCCATGGGATGATTTCAGTACTATGAGTAACAAAGACCTCTCCTCATTAACTACCTAAAAAATTTTAATTTAGACCTAAGCCAGTTCTCATTGCAGACTGCCTCTTCTTATTCATTTTCTCCTCATGAATTAAATTGAAAATCTAAAACAGAATTATTTTATTTTTTACATTATTTGGTTTGCATTTTAGTAGTTAATTACAACTGCTTAACCTAAATTAAGTGCCATCTACTGCCTCCCCAAAATTTAAATAAATTCTAATGAAGCAACAAATTCTGTAGCCTGACAATTTTTAAGTATTTTTCCAATAACTTTATTATGTATGAGCAGGCTATATAGTGTGTTAAAGTCTGTTTTTATAGGAGAAACTTAATGATACCTTGGCATATTTTCTTTCTTGTTAATTTGAGAATACCTGATATATATTCATTTAGAAAAATTTCTGGTTTAAGAAATGTAGAATGTTTACTTAATTTTATTATGATTTATGCATCCATCTTATGGGTTCCTAGCTAGCAAGATGCTAATTCTTTAAATGGTCAGACATTTACTATTTTCTGGCCCTTAACTACCACAAGCAATCATATTTGATGCCCCTTAATTAGAGCACCTTTTTTTCTTTCCAGGTTCTTTTTCCACCTCAGCAATCGAGACAATACATTTGCTTACCATGCTGCTCTCCTAAGTGTTCTTTTGCATGTAAATTAATCTTGATTCAGTTTACACTGTCATGCTGAGTGGTACAAATTGCCTATAACAATAAAACAGCATGAGTTAAAAATAAAGGGGGGTGGGAATGCAGATTGAATGTGTGCCTTACTTGATAGGATGTTACTTTGCTTTATGCCAATACATTAGCTGACGATAATGAATCTTCTGTTCTGAAAAGCATGGTTTAGTTGATTTTTTTAATTTTACTTCAATGGAGCAGTACCTTGTCTTTTATAGACCAAGTTAGACAAACCATTAATGACAAGAGTGTTAAGGTTAAATATGAAGCAATGCATTCACTTCTCTGAGTGCTATCCATCTTTCCATTTACAGGAGCTTGACAAAAGTACTGGCTTTGTACAACATTTCCTTTAATTACATGCTGCGGGAAACAGGCTTTTAACATAAACATAGTTGCATTCATTTATTCAGCAGTTGCTCTTCAATAGAGCTTAATGGAGAAGGTTTAAGTCCTAAATGAGGACACACGTCTCTCAGCAGTGTTGTGTCAGCAGCCGCTGCGCTTTACTTAAAAGCGGCGTTTGACTGTTTGTGTCGTTTTTAAAGCTTTTGCCTAATATTGAAGTTAAACAGTCTAAGACAGAACCTGGTGTCCCCGAGTTCGAAAGTGGCTAGTAAAAACTGCTCTTTGTTAAAAGCTAGACAAGTCTTTTTACAGTGTTAGGCTTTAGTGTCTTCAGACTGCTAATCATACGGATTTTTTAAATCGTTGGGTTACATTTGCAATAAGTAACTAAATTAAATACATGCCCCTGAAGGTGCAGGTCTTTTGAAAACAAGACATCAAATTTTACTCTTTTCATACATTTTGTAAAGTATTGTGCACATATTAAACATCTCAGAAGATTACTGCCATTTTTAGTAGATATTGTTAGGTGTCAGTGACTTAAGTCACAGATCCAGATATATGTCATTTTTTGTAATTATGTTTTATTTTAATCCAGGTCCTAAATCTCAATATTTCTTCCAAGTGTATGGTATGTTATTAAATATGTTCGGTGAACATTTTTACATGAAATTTTGATATTACTGGCATGTCTTGTGTTAGTTAACTCTATGGTTTTTGTTCATGATTTTGCTTAACTTGGCATCTTAAATATTTGCTTGAAATGTGTCTGGGATTTAAGGTTTTCCCATTCACATAATTTTCTTTGTTTTCAGTGCTTTTGCTTCAGAAATTTCAATTGGTGTTTTGTCAGGAACTGTAGTGCCATCCACTAGGCAAACACTGTTACCACTGAGTGTAGCTCGGATAAGTGTACATTTTTTAGAGCCTGTTCAGTGACTTTCAGTCCTTGTTGAGATAACTCGGGTCCATTGTATTGACGCCATTCGTCAGGTAATGTTGCTAGTTATTTCAGAATCACTTGGATTTGTTTTCAAGCAGCATTTTTAGCAAGAGAAATCTTTGTGTGAAAAGGAGAGGAGAAAATTCTTTAAAAGTAGAAGTTTAACAGTTTACATCAGCCAAATTAATTTAGTCTATTTTAAAGGGACTGAAATTAGCATTTCATTTTTGTAATTCGATGTTTTTATCCTATGGTATTTAAAATTAGATTTGTTAAGAGTGCTGTTTGACTGTATTTTTACACGTTCTCCTATCTAATAAGGATTTTTTCTTTAATTTTTGAAATGGTTGCAGATCATTTTAATTTTGTGATAATTAACTTATAAATTAATTACATTCTGGTATTTATCTTCTTGGAAAAAAGTTTACATTTTGGCTATGAGCTTTAAGTTGTTTTTAATGTAATTTTAATAAAGAAATTAGTGAAAGGGGGCCTTCTTTTGCTCTTACAGGAATGCTAACAGGAATGAATGAAACTTCTGCTATAATCATCGTTGCACCACAGAATTTCACTTCCTCTGTGATCCTTCAGAAGGTTGTAAATGTAGCCAATGTAGGTGCGGTTCCTTCTGGCCAAGATAATATACACAGGTAGGTTCACCAACACGTGATGTGGAGATGACTTGTATCAATGTATAAATATATAATTTTCCATCCATAATTTCCCTTGAAAATAGCCCCTGAATATATTATGCCCCCCTCCTTTTCTCTGATTATATATCTGATTGATGGGTTTGGTGTAAGGCCCTCTTTCCTATTTCATACAATCCTTAGAATCCTCAACACACTGGTATGGACCATCCTGAAAGATACAGCTAGTATACCTGCATCTTATAAGATGCATCTTATAAGCTTGATGGCTTGTAAAGGTACCTTTTTTGAGATATGGTGGAGAATTTATCTTATTTCACCAGATTCAATGCATTTCTAGGAAAACCTGTTTCACAAAGCAGTGGACTTGAACTTCTTGTACTTGGAGGGGGGGAAGCTTGGGTACTGCATACAGATTTCCTCTTGATTGCAGTCCCCTAAGGTCACTTCCAGTAATAGGGAAGGTTACTGCCAGAAAACCAGCATAGGGCCAAGTGCAGCTTCTCATTGTGAGACCAGGAGTATCTTCATCATCGAGCATCTGAATTGTGAGGTCCAAGTCATTTGTCCTTAAAGGTGGCAGAAAATTCGATTACTATGATTGTCCTCTTTGTGTTCTTAAGAATGCCTGTGGCTGGAAAGGAAAGTAAAGATAAAATAATTACCCCTTGTTACTTAGTTCTCTGTGATCTTAAGGGAAGTCATTGCAAATCATCTCTAATTTCTCTACCATTCCACTCTAATGTTATACTTAATGCCATTTTATTCGTATATATTAAACTTAAAATTAAAGAGAATGCCTTGTCACCTTTAAATACATTTTTAATTAAATGGGGCTAGAGACCCCATATAAAGAGTACAACAGGTGATCTATTTTTTAGACTCAGCTCTGCTATTATTGGGCTCAGTAATCTTGCACAAGTTAGTACTTCTTATGGACTTTAAAGCTCTTCATCTGTGTGGAAATGGGTGGTGGGGAAAAGGAGGGTGATCGGAATGAGATTCTGTATTATCTGTGGAAGAACGTTGGACTTGCAAAACCTGAGTTCAAGTCTTGATTTGCCATTAATCCAAAGCTACCTGATCTCAGCATCTACTAAACATCACAGAATGAAAACTGCGTGCGCCAGTCAAAAAACAAATTTACTTGTCCTTCTGGACTTGTTTTAGGGGGGACGGGTGCTGGGTTCTGTTTGTTTGTTTGGTTTGGTTTGGTTTTTGGTTTGGGTTTTTTTGTTTTTGTTTTTGTTTTGTTTTGTTTTTTGAGAAAAGGGTCCTTAAGTTGCTGAAAAGGTCTGATGCTCCCATTTCTTATTTATCATAGGCCCTCTCTATCTCAGGGCAGTGATGAAATAATAAAACTGATATAAGATAATCAAACTGGCAAATAAAATTTTTCTTTCAATTAATGTTCAATATGGGAATGAACAGAAGCCTTTTCAGTGAAAATATTTTTGTTCTGAATGTTCCTGTTTTAATTCTTTTCTGCCTTAAATACTTCTTTTTCCTTTCCTGTGTGATGTTATCTGTCAGAAGTTGTTCTGTTTATTTATGGATTGTTTGAATTATTGAAATTACTATAACACCAAAATATCAGTTATTAACTGTAACTTTTAGCTTATGCAGCACCAGATTTTACCTAACATGTCTCGTACCCAGCAATACTTCAGACCTGTTTTGATATGTTCTTTGTAACATACAAAAAGATACAGAGTAACCTTCTTTACATTGGAACTTCTCAGTTATTGTTTGGTTTCGTATGTGGGTTTTTAACTTTTCTGAAAGTGATGGCAACTTTCCAGCTTTTTGTTTCTTAAAAGAAAATAGCCATTTTGCCTTCTCAAAGACAACTAACATGAAAACTATCTTTTTGTTGAGGAATAGACTAAGAAAGACACTTAGCACAATTTTGTAATTCTTATTAAATCATAGTTTGCCTGTGACTTGTTGCGGTGGTTTGGAACTTAATGCCTGTTCAGAAGATTAAATTATAGTCAACTCTCAATTATCATACTAATGCAGGAGACACACATATCAGAGAACCATTTGTATTTGGCTTTGGAATGCAGAGACTGCACTCACGCTTGATGTTCTTGGTCCTCATTCACATCCGCAGTGTCTTGACACTTTTCCAATCCAGTCCTATCAACAGCGGCCTGATGTTTGGCTCTGCAGCTTGGGGGAGGAGCTCACGTTACTACAGAGTCAAAGTGGATAAAATGCCTATATGTAATAAGCATGGGCTGTGCTGTCTGGACTTGCCTCACAAGTCTCATCATACTTAAGTGAAAATGATGTTTTAGTTACGTGCGGTTATAACAATGCTCTAAATTTGAGAAAGCTTCCAGGTAATAAACAATTGGTATTTTTCATACAGATATTGATGAAAAAATTACCTAGCATATTTAACATTTTGATATTTTTGTACTTAGTAATAATTTAAAATGAAAATTGTTAATAAAATCTGTACCAATACCTTTCTTAATTTTATTTAAAGTGAAATTACTTTTTATATTATAACAAATATATACACCTTACCATTGTTGAACTAATGTTTTTAACTGTATTGTTTAGTATTACATTACCATGTGGGATTAATGAGTTTACATATTACTTAATTGTTAATAGTAGAATTGAAATCCCTGTAAGATAATTTTGAGTGATTTCTTGATTCTTCTGTGACGGCTGCTTTTTTGAGTGTATGAAGAGTAGAACCAAGCCATTCCCATATTTATCAACGGTAATCATTTAAGATTACTTTTTAAAAAAGTATTAAAACATTTTGACTACTAGTGTTTTAAGATATTAAATTTTCAGTTCAATAAATTACTCCTGGCTGGTTTTCATTCTGTTTAATTTTTCAGGATCTTTTCTTTCCAAAAGGACTCTTTAATAAACATTAGAGTATTTTTTCTGGCCATTCAATGAATGAGTTCCCATTGTCTAGTTTTGGAATAATTTATCCTTATACTACGCTTCAAAATGTGAATATTTTACATTAAATATCAAGTTAAAAATACATAGTATAAGAATCAGCTTAGAAAAAAGTGAGTCTTCATTAATATGCAAAAGTGTGTAATAGTATAAAGTGGAAATTTTAATTGAATGCATAATAGAAAATGGCTCCTAACACATCACCATTAATGGTCTCCATTAAGATAAAGTCGATTAAAGGAGCACAGGTTTTATGGAATTCACTTCAAAAACCAGGAGCATTTTCTATATACTTAACCACTTTTAAAGATCAATTGAGAAAGCATATCTGCTGTTAGATTATATGACATTTAGTTTTAATTTTCTAAATGAGCAATAATATCAGAAAACCAACCAGTATACTACTGAAAATTTTAACTTTGTTTTCATTTCTGTGCTACTTCCTTGCTGATTGAAAAAGACTCGTAGATGGAGAGCAGGATGACAGCTGGGGGGAGGGTGGGGGATGGAGCAAAAAAGGAGAAAGGACAGCAGTGTGGGGATGGCTGGGGGTGGGGAATGTAAGGAGACTAAATGGTGATGGAAAAAGTACAATAAAGATTAATTTTTTTTAAAAGTGCCTCTTTGAGAATAAAATTATCTTACTGAGGTCCTTGTGCCAATTCGCTGTTTTCCAAATTACAGTTACCACATGATAAAGATAATACAGAAATGGGAACCAAAAAGCCATCAAAGAGCATTTATTAATAAGCAGCTGAATTTCTTAATGTCTAGTGTTAGATATTCATGTTAAAATATATGAGATGTACTATGCAGTGTAAACATCTTGAAATGTATTATTATTTAAGACAGTGCTAGTAAACTAATACGTAAAGTATATGCAAACAGCAGAATGAAAAGCGGTGGTAAACTGGATTATGAATGGGCGCAAGATTTAATGTGCTGGAAGGGAGAAGGTTAGAGACTAGCAGTGGAATCTGAAGTTCATCCAGGTCTAGGAGAAATTTCCTGTGCTTCTCTGAGAAAGAAATCAAGTGAGAGTTGAAGAAAAACATTTGTATTTAACAAGGTAGAAACCAAAGTACATTTGCTTTTATTGCATTGCTTACTCTCTGGTAAAGGTACCAATGTGCAGTGACCACAAAGTAGAAAACTAAAAGCTCTACCTCCAAAATCTCTGAGGCTTTTTTGTATAAAAAAGTCATGTGGGAATTTATATAAAATGCAGATTCCTGGGACCCAAGCCCCAAAACTCAGATTCAATATATCTTGTACAGAGCCCAGGAATCTGCATGTTAGTAGTTATATGGCAAGGGTTCCAAAGTCTACAGTGTGAAACTGCCCTGAATTATCAAGAGTTAATGATGGCCACATTCCAAATTTTTAAATGTATTTTCCTGTTTATTTATTTTCTTTTTACAGATTAGTCACTAAGGGGTACCAATAAGCGAGATGTTTGTTTGTTTTTAAGATTTTATTTATTTATTTTTAGAGGGACAGAAAGGGAAGGAGAAAAAAGGAAGAGAAACATCAATGTATGTTGCCTCTCATGCACCCCCTACTGGGGAGCTGGCCCGCAACCCAGGCATGTGCCTTGACTGGGAATTGAACCAGCAATCCTTAGGTTCATAGGCTGGAACTCAAATCTACTGAGCCACACCAGCCAGGGCGAGATGTTTGATTTAGTTCTTTCCTATATCTATCCCAGTGTCCTCCAGCAAGAAAATATATTGTTACAGTTGGAATAGTTATGAAACAGTCTTAGACTGCTATAAGTAAAAGTTTGTCTTCCAGCAATCTCAGCTATTTTATACTTTAACCCAGTTTCAGGAATTCTGACATTCATAAACATTCATATTGTTAAAAAGACTACTTACCCATTTGGCCCTTTCATGAACAACAAATTGACCCCATAAGGGGAAAATGTGAAATTTGATTCTATTTTTATTCTTAGATTATCTGTTAAGACCCTAGAAGAGCTTTCATCAGTTACTTTTATTCTTATATCTTATGTATCTTAATCTCTGGTTTGCATTTTATCTACCCTGTCACTTTTTTAATTTGCA